GGGCCGTAGGCGGCTCTGGGGCCTGGGCAGCCCTCGTGACACAGCCCCTGTCCCACGTGGGACCCCACATTCACCGGGGCCGCGGGACCGAGTCCTCCCCAAAGCACCAAAGCTCTCGGGGGGACAAACCCCCCCCGGCCCCAGGCTGGCAGCCGCAGCATGGGGAGACGGCAGCTAAATAAAGGCGAGCAAAGTGGATCTGTCGGAGCAGGCCGCCGCCTGCGGACCATACTTTATTTAGCACAGTTTTGTTTGGAAATACACTTTCTCAAGTTTGCTGAAAGCTGAATTTCTGGTTTGGTTTTAATTTGAAGGCTGGAGCCCCACGCTGCCGCTGCGGGAGGCTCGGGCTGGGAGAGGGCTCCTGTGAACGCGTGGAAACCCAGGGCTGGACAGGCTCTGCCACCGGCACCGGCTGGGGACCATGGCCCCACGGTCACCCTGCATTTCCTTGGGTCATGAGTGCCATCCTCCAGCATCACCCTGGCATCTCCCCACAACCGGAGCTGCCCCGGGGTGCTGGCAGAGGAGTTACGGGAGGTTACATCCCCCTCGCCACCCGCTTCCCAGGCGTTTCGCACCCCTGACCATCACAATTTTACCCCCCGGGAACAAACTCAAAACTTCCCCTAATACCCGGAGCCCTTCAATCCCATTGCCAGCCCCAGCTTCGGTGCAGACAAACCCATGCTGGGCGTCGGGCAGGACCGGGACCATCCCCTGCCGCTTGTGCCACGCGTCTTACACAGCACTAATAGCGTTAACATGTAGGAAACAAAACAGGCCCATAATATTAATAGCGGGAAGGAATGGCCCACAGCTCCCCGCAGGCTCTGAACACAGCGACGCCTTGGACTACCCCAGCTAATGAGCTGACATTAGAGGCAACGACTCCTGCCACTAAACTGCAGCAACCAAACTCCCACCGCGGAGAGGTTTCCCGCAGAGAATCCAAGTGTCTCCAGCAATCTGCCAACTGCATGGCTAATTTTTTTTTTTTTTTTTTTGTTTTTTTTAAAAGGGAGTTAAATGTTACAACAATATTCTGAACAGTCAGCGTGCCGGGAAAATGTGTCGAGTGCCGGGGAGGTCATTAGTTAGAGACGGCTGAATATGTCGATGTGATTTATCATCACACCTTTCCCTGTACCTCTGGAGGGGATGCATTTTGGGGACGGGGAGGCAGTGACCGGGCTGCCATCCCCCTCCTGCATCCTCCCAGCATGGATTTTCTCCCGGCTTATGGAGGTGTGCGGGGAACCAGGCTGCGTTTGGGTGGGATTGACCCGGGTGGGGACTTGGGGGAGCCAAGCCAGGGCATGCAGGTCCCCTGGCAGGAGAGGTGACCGTCCAAGAGGGGACAGCGGGAGGAGGTCATGCTCCGTGCTGCTGCCTGCCCTGCGCCGGGAGATAACGCTGCTATCTCCCACAGCGATGCCCTTCATGCCCCAGCAGCGGGACAGCAACGTCAGTGGAGAGGAGGGAGCTCTGCTCCCGGTGTGGGGCTGTGGCCGTGCCGGCACAGCCGAGGGTGCCCAAACCACTCCTTCTCACTCCAGCCCAATGGAGCAACCCAGTGCTGAGCACCCACAAAATGGGGGGGCAGCGAAGCTGGGGGCTCCCCCAGCTGAGATGCAAAGCAGGGAGCCTGCGGTCAGCCACCGGCCAAGTGTGTGCCCACCGCTCCTCTGACACCCAGTCTTTAGGCACTTCCAATAAATTAAGGGTGGACACAGGGTGGGCCAGGCCCTGACAAATCCGGAGGATAAATGACCCCCTGCTTCCCCTCCGCTGCCAGGGAGGACAGGCAAGAGGCTCCCACCACAGTGCATTCCTAATGAGAAAATACCGTTTTGGCAGGGGCATGGGTAGAAAACAGCCGTGGGCATGCACCCCTCCGCTGGACCCCCACACACCCCACTAGTGCCAGCGAGCAGCCGAGACATTGCTGTCTGCAAGCCTTGACAGTGCACACAGGAGGGAAACTGAGGC